TTCAGCAGTGCTGAAGTTTTGAACAACCAGGCTCACTGTGAATGTGGGTGCATGTCTGGAAACACCCTCCACAGCCCTGGATTTCCTCGGGGGGAATGTGCCTTACAACTCCATGCTGGATAGGGAAACCTCTGCCATAAGGAGAACTTTGGAAGCAGGAGCCAGCCTCCAAGAAACAATTCTCATTTGGTGAAACCAGCCAAAACAGCTAGAAGGAAGCTTTATTTTATAGGCCAGTGAGAGGAGACTCACACAGGGGAAAATGCAGCTTGGGGTCCTGGTCAATGCCAGGGTGAGGCTTCCTTTGAGACATCACAGCACTACACTGGGTGCCTCAGAGTTGGGAGCAAGTGACAGGCTGTGCTACCATATGGATCCAGTGGTATCTGCTAAACAAGAGTCAAGCCCACAGTACTAGTGAAAGCACATGTTTCGACTGTATATGAAATAGTGATACTAAATTCTGTATGTGGGGAACAGATTTTTGGCAGAAGGAGCTTTTTATCCCCATCACGTGCTGTCTGTGACACTGAATGACACAATGCAGAACCAGCAGTTCAGATTGAAGTGTCCATGTGCAGCAGTCAAAGCCCAGGATCATCACATCCAGAGATGGGCAAGTTCATGGCTTGGTAGGAGAGACTGACAGGTGACAAAACCCAACAAATGCAAAAAAAAATTCATTTCCTCTCCCCTGCAGCCTTGTACCTGCTGCAGCAGAGAAGGTGTAGGTGGACATAGAGTTAGTGATGGGGGAAAGCTGAAGAACCTCAGAGCACGGATGGATTTCTTTAGGTAATCCCTTTACACAAGCCCCATCTTTTGAGAAAGTGGATCAAAATCACATATTCATCAGGCTCCAAATAATGAGCCTTATGTGCCCAGTGTCAGGAATAAACCAGCTCGAAATTCAATTCAGCTGATATTCAAGGGAGCTGTGAAAATCTGCTCCACCTGATCTTTCCCCAGCCTCAGGCAGGTGCCCTCAAGCTCCCTGCTGCTTCCCTGCACCCCTTCCTCTCTCTGTCAGGTGGGACACAAACAAGCCACCGGTGTTTCCTTTTCTCACACCGGGACCATACCTGCTCGGGCTGCCTGCCACTTGGGGACCACAGCATTCCCAGCCCTTGCTGGACACCCCAGCTCCTGCCCCGTGCTGCTGCTCCAGCTGACCCAGCGCATCCCTGGGTGCCCCCGTGCCGTGCCCCACTCTGCTCTCACCTCGGTGGGCAGCTGCCAGCCACCTCCTCCCTGCTGCTCCCAGTGGGCTTGAGCCAGGTCTCCTTGGGTGGAAAACCCCCAAACTGGGCTCCCATGATGCTCCTTCCAAGCCCGGCACAGCAGATCACGGATGGGCATGAGGGACCCGTGGCTGCAGCAGGAGCAGAGAGCAAGGAGCTTGGCTGCCAGACCTGCAGGGGTGAAAGGAGGAGGACGACCCCGTTCCTTTCAAGACATCCACAGTGAAGGCGCTCATGGCAAGAGTGGGGTATCACCTCCTGTCTTCAACTCTCCCCTTGCACTTTCTTTGCTGTCCCTCCCATGTTTGCAGCCCCTGTGTACTTGTACCCTGTGCAGGTGCTGGCTGTTGCAGCAGATGCTGAAATTTGTTTTTCTTCTCTTTAAGGTTTGTGCCCTTCTTTCCTCAAAGGAAAAAAGAAAAAAAAAAAAAATAGGAGCAAGAAAGAAAAGAAACCTGTATTTTTGCTGCAGACTGTGACTGGCTTGTGTAATAACGCTGCCTTTCTGTCCTTGTTTTAGGGAGTGCTGCCGATTTTTTGGAGACAATGGCTTGACTTTGAAGGTATTTTTTACCAAGGCAGCACCCTTTGGTGTTCTTTGGACACTCACAAACTACCTTTACTTACATGCAATAAAGAAAATAAACACTACGGATGTCTCCGTGTTGTTCTGCTGCAACAAAGCTTTTGTGTTCTTGCTTTCATGGATCGTTCTGAGAGACAGGTTCATGGGAGTGAGGGTAAGTGGCTCCTTATCTCTATCTCCCTTCTTCCCCCTCACGCTTCTGCCTTTCTTTTGCTCCTTCCCTGTCACCAGCCAAGTAGAGCAGCACCTCATGCAGATGGCCAGGTCAGCATAGAAATGCTAACAGAGCGGGGACAGGTCCATCCCTGCAGCCTGCCCAGGTGGCCCTGAGCTCCCAGAGCCCCCACCTCCCCCAGCCTGATGCCTTTGTGCATTTTCCCTCAGAGAAGAGGTAGCTTGCTCCAGAGCATGGCATGAAGGATTGCTGCTGTCTCCTTGTTGCTGTGGACATGTGTCAGCCTTTGCCAGCCCCCTCCAGAGGACTGTGCCTCAGCTGTGGCACCAGACCGTGTTGCTTCTAACTGCACGTTCCTGCAAGCCCTGGCTGCACACAATGGGTTTCTGGCCCCAAGCTGTGACTGTAATGGGGCCCTTGCCTTTCCTACACATGGCAGCAGGTTTGCAGGTGGGATGGTTATTCTTCACACCTGAGTCAGCCAGCAGCAGCAGAGGAGGAGGAGAACTGCTCCCACTTGCCTGTGGCTGAAGCTTGTGTGTGCATCACTGGTGGAGGATGGGTGTAAGGCTGGTGCATGGGGATTTGTATCTGGCCAGTGGCTGGGGGCACAGGGCCACCAGCATGGCTGGCAGTGGGCTGGCAGGCCTGCTACCCCAGGGCTGTGCTTCTGGTGGCAACCCAAATGTTTGCTTCTGCTCTTAGTCCTACACTATGTGTGAACACCCATGTCATGGCAGCAACATGGAAATCCCTGTGGCTCCCTGTTGCCATTTTGGCAACCCTCAGCGCACGGTGACCTCTGGCAGCTGAACCTGTTGGATGGGCGCCTGGCATCTGCCCTGGTGACCCACCACTGTGGGGCCAAAGGGGTCCTACCAGGGCCAGGAGCAACTGCAAGGAGAAGGCACCAATGGATCCCTTTTACCTCACTGCGCCAGCAGGCACTTACTAATATTAACAGTGATAATGGTGATAATGACTGTTTTGTGCCCACCATTTGAGGAGCTCACCCACCCAGGCAATGCATTCAGTGCTCAGAAGACGCAGTTTGCCCTTGCTGCATGGAGTAGCTGAGAGTTAACTTTTCAGGAAGAGCTCCTTTCTGGCAGGAGAGCTTGGCCAGCCTTCTGGTGATGGCAGCCAAGAGGCTGCTGAGGGGATCGTTGCAAAATGTACCCGCCAACAGCCCAGCCTGCCCAGCTGGTGTCTGCACTTGCCCACCCCCCTGCCCAGCTGGCGGGGCTCTGTAAAACAGATTACCTGTGGTTTTTGAGTGCAGAAGCAAGAGTATCCTGAAATGATCCTGGGAGCAGGGAAAGTGTCACTGTTGTCCCAGCTGGACATGTTGATAAAAGTAAAATGCGTGTTTTTGTGGCCTTCAGCTGTCCAGTGGTGCTGGGAGCTGTAGTGCTGGTGGGATGCCAGGAGGAGAGGTGTGTAGCAGGCTGGTTGCTGCTCTCCTGCGTGTGCAGCTTGCTCCTTGGTCTGCACCTGACGCCTCACACCGCTGGGTGTGGCTGAGCTCTAGGAGGGAAAGCAGCTGACCCCTGTGGGCATGCACACGCTGGAGGGGAGGTGCTCCTCATGCTCTCCTGAGTGCATGGTTGTGCTTGAAGAGCCAGGGTGGTCAGGGGCTCTCTAGCAGCTTCCTAGCCAGGCTAGGTCTTGTGCCATGGCAGGTAACAGGCTCTGGATCCTGCTCTGGATACCCTCCTTCCCAAAGGATCAGGAGGAGTGGAAGTAGCAGGGAAGTAGACACAGGTGGTGATCTCAGTGTCGGGCTGTCCTTTGTTTCACATTGGCACAGCCTTGAGAAAGGCTAACTCGGTCAAAACCCAGCAACAATGAAGCAAAGATGCAGAGCAGGGGCCAGGGCGATGGGGACCATGTTTCCCAGCCCCTCACTGTGGCATCTGACATTGACAAGGGACAGCAGGTTGGAGGTAGCGTTGTGGTGGTGCTGTGTGGACTTCCTGAAAAACCACTTCCATGCCCACGGAGAATCATGGCCATCTTCCGTGCTGGTGACAGGCCAGCAAGGGGCTTGGGCACAGGGCGACAGGGCTCACAGGAGGACTGAGCTGTTTGCTCTTGGGCTGACATGGCATCCTGACATGTGGCAAAACCTGAGTGAGGAGCTGCTTGTCCCTAGGGACTGACAGAGAACAGGGCAGCACAGCAGCCCTGCTACCCATCTTCATGTGGCCCAGTGGGAGTGCTGGGGACACTCCTGTCTGCAGAGGGATGTAGCGTGAAGTCTCTTGGTGAGATGCATTTTCTTGCCTCTTTCCTCCCTTTTCACAGCCTATGTGAAACGCAAATGGCAGAGAGGGTGGTGCTGCCTGGCATACTGAGGTAGCCTCAGGATGAACCCCAAAACAAGACCCTCTTCCTGGGACTGGCAAGCAGGAGGAGGGAAAGCTGCTGGGGTTTGTCCAGAAATGACCTAGGGACTGCGAGCCAGCACACAGCACAGTGCAAGGCTCAAGGTCCTTAGAGGCCACGCTGTGTCAAAGCTGCTTTGATTCTTTGATTCTTTGACACAGAAGCTCGATTTGAGAGAGTATTTGGCAGATGTGACTGAAATGGGGACAGTGCCTTGCCCTTCAGGGAGCAGGAGCCCTCCCAGGCTCCCTCTCCATCGCCATGGCAGCACAGCAGGATGGATAGTGCCACAGCAAAGCTCTGATGGCACATTTGGGTGACCCTGTTCACACCCACTGGAGTAGAGGCCAGGTGAGAAAGGCCTGAGCAGCTGAGCAGGATTTAAGCACATACAAGCATCCTATTTGGCCTTCAGAAGTGCAACTCCTAGCTCTAATGAAGCTGTGAGTGCCCAAAGCGTTGCCTCTGCAAGCCCTGTGGTGCTGAGGCATCGGCAAGTCATCGCAGGCTGGCGGCTGCGGTGTGGTTCAAGCAGCCTGTCACTGCTGCTAACAATGTGCTTGATAGGCAGGCTGAAAGGATTCCAGACAAAGGCTATGTGACATGCTTGGAATGTCAACAGGTGAGGCCAAGACTCATCTGACACTTGTGACATGCTTGATAGAAGAGACAAGCTCTTCTGACCCAGCAAAACTGTTGGCAGACTGCATTTATTTGCTTTGATTTTGCACTTCAGTATTTCCCTCTGTCCTACAGTAAATAAAGCAGCTCAGGATCCAAGAGAGCCACTGCTTGCAAGTACCCCCTGGGTCTGTGAAGACAAGCACACCTGCCAGGAGGACCTGGAAATAAATACAGTATAAATCCTAAATCATAGTCTCCCTTTCCAACCAGGCAGAGACCCAGCCTCCCAGGAGGTGCTCTGGAGAGAGCCAGCCTCTGACATTGAAAGCAAAACAGTTCATCAATGTAGGCCCCAGGTTTCCACAACAGTGGAGCTCAGCTGCCAGTGGGGTTCAGGCAGACTGTGCATGGAGGTACTTGCTGTTTGCCACAGCCTGGCACATGGTTGTGGTCTCCTCTTGGCTCTCCAGTGAAGGCTGGACAAGTCCCACGCCTCTCAGACGTGAGATGGCCACACTTGGAGCAGCTGCTGCAGGAAGCGTCTTCCACTCGTCACCTGGTCTGTAGCACAGGTGATGCTGGAGGGCTGGAGTTGCCATCTTTCAGATAAGCCTGAGACTGTATCTTGCAGCTCTGCAAAGAGCCATACTGAGTGAGAGCAGCAGTGCATCTGCCCCAGGAGCCTGGCTCCAGCAGCTGCCCGTAGCGCACACCAAAAAGTCTGTCTGAACAGGAAAAGCCTGTAATGGTGTTTCCTCATGAGACTTTCCAGCCTCCAGCAATCTGAGGCTCAAGGACTTCCTGAGATGGAAATGATGTTCCTATAGTTAATCGTCCTTGATGGATTTTTTTGTTTTTCTTCCATGAGTTTGTCCTTGGAAACTTTTCACATCCACAGTGTGCAAGAGCAAAGCTTTTCTTGGCTGAATTATGTGTTGGGTGAAGACAAGTATCTTTTTCATTGTTCTGCACCTGCCCCTTGCTAGCCTCATTGAACGATCTTTTTTCTTGTGCTTCTGAAGCCACAAAGAATTCTGTGTCTGAATTTTGACAAGCAACAGCACACTGACACAGGAGAACTACTGAGGGCTGCTGAGCACCTTCAGTCTGAAACTGCCCCATGTTGCTGTACAGCCATGAATTGGGGTTTGTGTTGTTTGGTTTTTTTTTTTTTTTTCGTCTCCTTGCCTTTAAAAGAAGCTTGTGGAACTGTGGAGCTCAGTTACATCACCACCAAACTTCACTTTAAAAAATATGCCACACAGCTGTGCATGGAGAGATCTGATGCCACGAGGGCTGCAAGCCAAGGTGCTCTATCTGAACCTCTCCAAATACGCAAGCATGTGCACCCAGCTTGTGCAGCTTGCACCGGGCTCTGCTCTGATCAGGTCACAGTTCAGCCTGCCAAAGCTCTGCTCATGCAGCATCCTGAACAGCAGTGCAGCAGTCTCTTTATTCCAGACCCTTCTTGCTGAGATGCTATTAGCAGCTGTATTTTCCATGCAGTGTCAGCTTCTGTTGATGGGGTTTTTTTACCCTTATGCCACCCTGCCATTCTACAGCAACACCTCTGGAGGAATTGATCCCCTTCTGTTTGCAAAAATGGGGCATTTTTCTGTTAGGAGAAATTGGAGATGTTAATGTGAGCACGCAGGAGGGATCTGCTGGGTGGTCTGTGGAAGCTTTACACATGCCCCCTGGCACCAGCCCCAGCAGGATCCAGGGAAGAGGCTGCTGGTGCACCTGCAGCTGGTAAAGGGGTTTCCACCACGGTAGCTTGCTCAGCAGCAGAGCTTGGCACACAGGGTTTCTCCCTGCATCTTCACAGCAGCCCCAGCATGCCTAGTGGTGAGCAGGAAAGGTGAGAGGAGGACATTGCTCTTGGATGTGTAGGCAGTTGCAACCTGTGGATGGGGCTTGAAACCTCAATCTGGCCCCAGGGGAGGGATAGTTGGTTGGTACTACCCAGCTAGGGCCAAAATAAACTCATTTATCCCAGTCATCTTAGAATCATCACCATGACTCTGCAGCCAAAGGGGATGTGATCTAAGCAGGGCATCCCTTGTACCACTGCAGAGCCAGGAAGCACGGAGCATGCAGAAAGCCCTTTTCACCCCACAATTACCACCTGGAGAGGCTTGAGGCATCTGGCAGTGCAATCCCAGAAGAAGGGTCTTCCTGACCCTGCTGAATCAGGGGCAGCCTGTTCTCAGCCTTTGTGAATGCTACCTCCCTTCAGACGACCCCCCTCAGGCATTGCTGCGGGCCTGGTTGGTTGGCTGACTAAACCTCCTGCTCTCTGAAATGACATGTCTGAACTGCAGAGTAGTTGGATGAGTTTTATTCCTCTGTTTATTTGAAAAACCTTCTTTCCTCCAGCACCTCCACAGGACTCAAAGCCTCTCCTGCAAGCACCAGGGAATTGCGACTTGTGTATTACTGTCACGCGCAGGCTGCAGAGACCCACCTATGGGTAGGCTCGGTGACAGAGATGAAATCTCTACCTCAGCTCAGTGTGAGACACTGGGCCCTGCAGTCTGGCCCTCCCCACAGCCCTCTGAGGCAGCTTCCCCTTCTCAGCTCTGCCTGCAGCTTCTCTGCAGACAGGGAAACCACAGGAGAGGCAGCATCAGCTCTGTGGATATCAACCTGGGCTTGCTACTCGTGTTCTATACAAGCAGATGATGGAGAAGTACTACTCTCTCGTTTAAAGCTGCTCTCCTGTTTTTCCATGTTGGGGGTTGTCTAGTAACACTTTCTTTCTTTCTTTGTCCCCAACCAGATCGTGGCTGCTATATTTGCTATTGCAGGGATAGTTATGATGACATACGCTGACGGGTTTCACAGCCACTCCGTTATTGGGATAGCCCTGGTGGTGGGCTCTGCCTCAATGTCTGCTCTCTACAAGGTAAGCACAACTGGCTCTTCCCCCTCCCCCCCCCAAAAAAAAAGATGCCCATCACCCTCATCACTCAAAGTGCTCACGTCTTACTTGCAAGCCTTCATGCAGTTTGGTGCCATCTGCCCTTCTCTCAGGGGCTGTGCCATAAACACGGTGACATTGTAACACTGCATTCAGGTTTTCATTTGCCTTGATGTCTGCCCTCAGGATTAAAATTCCTATTTCCTGGGAAGAGTCTTCTCCTGTGCCCACAGGAGGGCTTACTTATGTCCCACCTTCTTGAAAAGGAGGCTGCTTTACCATAGGTGCTGGATTTAATCACTCACTCTGGAAGTGCCCTTCAGAGATTTAGCTTCTTTTTCAAGTCACTTTGTTATCTCCCCTTGCCACTCGTCCTTTAGTGGCATATGTAGCCTACACTGAGCTTAAAGTATTGCTTATCCTGGAAATAACCACGTGCCAGCCTTAACACAAGCAATGCAGGAAGACTCGCCAAACTGAGGAGCATCTGTCTGTGTCCCTCAGTGCTGCACTGCAGTGCTTCCTGCTCACTATTTCAGATCAGCCTGTGTCTTGTGTAAAGGAGGCCATGAAGTTTCTTGCAGCTCTCTCCTCTAAAAGAGTGGTTCCTTGCAAGATGTGTCCCTCCAGACCCGAGGAGATGCTGTGGCTCTAGAGTCGTCTGCAGGCAGGCAGGTTATTCAAGGCTGGAGCCCACCTCTGTCCCCTGGTCCATGAGTTGTGCCCGCTGAAAGGGCAAGCTGAGCTGCAAGGAAGACAAGCTGCACCACGTGCAGCAGAGCCACCTCAGCTTGCCCTCCCAGCCCAGACACAGATGCTTAAGTCTGCCTCTGCTAGCTGTCAGCCCTGCCAGGGGCCACGTGTCATCCTCAGGTGGCAAATGAGGAGTAATTGGCTTTTGTGACATTTTGCTCCGTTATGCTCCATTATGCAGAGCAGCAATGCAGCTGCACTCACCAGTGATGGCTGTGAGGTGGTGGGGATGGGCAGTAGCCCCACAAGTGCACCAGCCCTGCAGACTTGCCATCGTGGCTCTGGGTAAGCAAGGGGAGGAAACAGCTGACCCTGGCGAGGGAGCCTGCCATCCCAGCACAAACCAGTCCGTCAGCCCTCCTGGTTTGCAGCCCTGTGGCAGAGGAAAGCTGGACCTGGAGCCCATGGGATCTAGTGGATCCTCTGAGGTTCTGTGGTGGAAAACTGATGCAGACCCCAAACCAGACTTGTCTGCAGGGGCTCCCTGGCTGGGCCATTGCATCCTTCATTTTCTCTCTCTTTATCCCTTCTCCCACTGACAAACCCAAGCTTCTAAATCCCCCTGCAGTCTCATTAGTCAGGCTGCAGCTGGGCTCTGGGCTGCTGCTGCACCAGCAGCCTTCTGCGAGCGAGGTCCCAGGAGGAAGCTGCCTGGCACTGGGAGCGTGCTGGGGAGCCAGGGACAGCAGCAGGCATGGGCAGGCCGTGGTGCAGGGTAGGACAAGGCAGAAGGACAACCCGGCAGCATGGACTGGGCTCGCCCACCTCTGCAGAGCTCCTCAGGTGGCATCTCAAGGCCTAGACCTGTGATGTCCCATGCAGGGAGACCAGACGTGTGGCTTCCTCTCCTCCTCCTGCCCTGCTCCATCAAGTCATGGTTTTAATGTCAAATTTTCCAGAGGTTTTCCTGAAGGGAGCATGCAGAAAAAAAGGCTGAGGTGTCTAGGCTAGGGTGAATGACCTTTCTTTTTGGGAAATGCACAGCCAAAGGTGCTGAGCTCCCTTCCCACATGGGCTCATTTGGCGGCTGCCCCTGCTTGTGTTCTAGGGGTGTGCCGGGTGGGAGCAGGCTGGGGCTCACAAGCTGCTCTCCACAGCTCCATGAGCAGCCACCTCAGGTGTCTGGCAAGTGTCACCATGTGGGTGCTGGCTGACACTACTCAGCACCCAGCCTCTTGGCCCCAGGCAGAGGCCAGCAGGCCAGGATGCAGTGCAATGGAGTGAGACCTGTGTGTTTTCCTCTTGTAGGTTTTATTCAAACTTCTTTTGGGCAGTGCTAAATTTGGAGAAGCTGCCTTATTCTTGTCTGTGTTAGCTGTCTTCAACGTCCTCTTCGTTACCTGTATTCCTGTCATCCTTTATTTTACCAAAGTGGAGTACTGGAGCTCTTTTGACATCGTTCCTTGGGGAAACCTCTGCGGATTTTCAGTTCTCTTATTGAGTGAGTAGATGGGGCTCTTGCACTGCTTGGGTGGAGGAGGGTGCCAGAAGCTGGCTGGTGGTGGAAGCTGCAGACTTCTGACATATTGTAGCCGTTTTCCCTTCTTCTCAACCTAATTACTAGCTTGAGAAATCATGCAAAAGGCCCATTCCTAGGTGGCAATGTAGACCCCACTCCTGCTGTTATTACCAAGCCTAAATATTCTGTCCCTCTTTAGAAGGTGCTGTGGACTAAATTGTAAAGCTCGTCCTACTGCCTACTCATGAACCCTGCTGCACAGAGACAAGTGACAAGCCCTGCTGGCAGGGGATTACCTTGGGCTCATCAGCATCCCCCAAGCAAGCAGGTTAGGCCAGGCCAGCCAAGGCCAACCTCTGGTGCCACCTCTGCTGACTTCAGTAACAGCTAATTGCTACTCCTAAAGAGGAGGAAACTTTTGAAACTGTAGCATTGCATAGCACTGGTGGGAGTTTGGTAGGTGGCATTCCGTTCTTCTGCTGCCACTGCTGTGTCACCAATGGAACCCCCCTTGGGAGGAATGCCAAATCTAAGCTTTAATGATTCATGGTCATCAGAAATGGGATGCTGTTCCTTGTTAAACTAGATGTGTTAACTGTGATGCCAACAGTTGGTCCCTAAACAAGATGACTGCATCACATCTCCTAAAACATTCCTTTCCTTTCTACTGGAAATAGCCCTTCTCTATCCCTGTCTTGAGCCCCTGCTCCTCTTACCCTGAACAGTCACAACACTTGACTCTAAAATTACCCCCAGTTACCGTACCAGTGGCCTCAATGGAAGGTTTCTGTAAACAAGTGGTGCAGAACTTTGCAAGGGATCACTGGGACATGTAACATATACATACTGCTAGAAGACAGTCAGAGCCCCAGCTCCTGACAATTCAGTATTGGCAAGGGTCTGCTAACTATGCTAAAACTAATCATCTTAAAGGTGAATTTGGTTCAAAGCAATTATTAATGCATCATGAGACACTTCATGAGCAGTGTATAGTATTACAGTGGAGTGATATTATAGTAATTCTGTTGTAATGATATTATAATGATATTATAATTTCATTATATGAAATTACATTTAGCAAGTTCCTGTCTGGAAGAGGGTTAGATTTACAGCATTTTCCACCTGCAGCTGAAGGCAGCTTTTCTAGAAAAAAAAAGTATCGAAACAAAAGTGACATTTTGGCTGAAATCTCCCAGATGGAGAGTGTTTCATCTTTCATTGGGGCAAAGAGGATTGGTATGGAGAGTGGGAATCACTGCACATCACACTGAGAGATAGGTTGTACCCAAACCTCACCCTGATCCTGCCACTGGACTCCAGTGGGACACAAGAGGTCCCCAGAAACAGCGATGTCTAAGGCAGACAGACATGCAGCAAACAGACGCCTGTGCAGAGCTAGCTTCCAGGAATAACAATAGAACTTCATATGCCTTCTGTTTGAACAAAATTGCAGAGGGAGTAATAAAGCATAAATGTTTCAATAGACATTCCCTCTGCCTAGTTTCACTGTAGTAAAAGGTGGTTTTATTTCCTTCTTCAGCATTCAATATTCTGCTAAATTTTGGGATTGCTATTACCTACCCCACCTTGATTTCTCTTGGAATTGTACTGAGTGTCCCAGTGAATGCAGGTAAGAATTTCTCTCTTCTGCATCTTAATGAATACATAAAATCTGTGGCCTTTCAAATATACAACAGGGATAAAACCAAATAATTAAACATGTTTTGAATCTTCTCTCAAAGACTTACAGAGATGACACTGGTTAAAAATGTATACTTATGTGTTAAATATGTATTGTAGAATACTACATAAATATTCACAGTCTCTAGAACTGCTTTGTAAACGGCTGTCCGAAGAAGCCTGCATACTGGAAAACAAAGTAGATTGGAAGTCATTGCCTCTGGGCTGGGATGAAAACTCACAGATGAAGTAGAAATCAATGCTTAATGTTTTCTTCAAGGCAGGCTTAACACTAAATTGAAACAAATAAAGTTGCTTACATTTTAGAGCAAATATGTACTAGTAAATATTTACCAAGCTTGTCCTGGTAAATAACACTGCAGGTGTTTACCAAGAGCACTGGACAATTTTGGGCACAGCCTGGTACATTTCTCTGTCAGTTTTCTGAAATTTAGCAAAAGCCAAGAGCCTGCAGAGCCCAAGGAGGCTGGGCAGGGGCGTGCAGAGACAACAGGGGCCCAAACCAGAGCCGCCTTTCCCAAACCAGGCGAGCGGAGCCGTGCCCCAGTGCCGGTGGCGGCTCACAGCAGTGTGCTGCCTGGACTGGCACCGAGCGGGGTGAGGAGGAGGATCTGCGAGGACCTGCTGCACCAGGGGAGGGAGATGCCCCTTTCTCTGTGTGGCCACACCTCTGTGGGAGCTCCCGTGCTGCCAATGAGCGAGGGAGCAGGTGCTGGTGCAGACAACGCCTGCAGCTCCAGGCATCATGCCCTTTTGCAGCCCGAGCCCACAGGGCAACTCAGCCTGCTCCAAAGGGGCCCATGTTCTGCTGTGCTAAACCAGCAGGAAGGGGACTCTCCCTGCCACCATCACCTCCATGGCCATGTTCTCCTGCCACAGCCAGCCTTCAGAGCTGGGAAGGTGAGGGGGAGGGAAGGGGATACTGCCCAAATGCTTTGTCTCACATAATAATGCCTGTTCAATGTCCTACACAGTTGTTGATCACTACACGAGTGAAATTGTCTTCAACAGTGTCCGAGTAATCGCCATCATCATCATTGGCCTGGGCTTCCTCCTGTTGCTCTTGCCAGAGGAGTGGGATGTCTGGGTAATAAAGCTCCTCACACGTCTCAAAGTCCGGAAGAAGGAAGAAATGCCCGAGGGGAATGGAGACATTGCTTCAGGACTGCCTAACAAAAGCCGAAGAACTCGCCCCTCCATGTCATCCTTTGCTCATTAAATGCTCTTTTTACCAAAACTTTGTGGTTAATATTCTACATGATGATGCAAAGGACGTTTCTTGGGAAGAAGCACACCTGTCCAACACGGTGTACATACCTGTACAGTTTTGATATGACCACCATCTAAGGCATCGAGTCTTGGCATGTCCAGTTTGCTTGTACTTTTTTCACATCTGACCTTTCACTTAAGTAGTACACTGAAAAAAAACCTGCAAACCAAGAACCTCTCTTCTCTTTTTAAATGAATGTAACATATAGTCAAAATATATTTGCATAGGTTATTTTAAAGAATGATTTTCATGAAAAGCAGGGCAGACATTTCGAGCATTAGGTACCGAATGATGCATTGCACACTGTGATTAAAAAGAAACAAATGCTATGCTACATCACATGTTTATTTTTGACCAGAGCTATACTCTGAAAGTTTTCAAGGAAGAAAAAGGGAATCTTTTCAGGGACAGGAAGATGGGGGGAAGAGTGGAAGGAAGGAGGTCTGGAAATCACTCTATGTAGATGGGCGCATGTTGCGCTGCAACCAGGAGAAAATTCAAGCGCTAAAAATGCCTGCACTAAAGCACTAGAGAGAAAGCAGTCTAGAGCCCAAATCTCCTTATTCTGTACATGACTGTAGTCCACGTTTAAAATCATGCAAGAGAAATCCAGTGCCTTCTACAGAACTCTTGTCTTTATCCACGCAGAACCAGGTCCTGCCACGAGGCACTTGCAATGGCAGGGCTCAGGCTTACAGCCCCGGGGGACCCCAAATTCCCATCAACATCAGGACATGCCTCCCCTCCCCCCCATACATGCCGTGGCTTCTGTGGGAACGTGGGGCCCAGGGGCCTGCAAGTTTGCGTGCAGGAGACCTGGTTCTCTTCTCACTTGCACAGGTTTTACCCCTGTGTGGAGCTGCGCTTGATTAACACCCATGTGAGGAAGGGGAAGTCTTGGTCACGTGTGGGACAACCCAACCGAAAATGGTCAGAGGGGCTGCCAAGAGCGTGGTTGCTGAGGTACAGTCTGAGAGCACGGACTAAGGGGGTGAATTGCCAGTTGCTTTTACTCCATAATTGTGAGTGTTAAGAGTTTAAAATGTAAGATATTTACATCAAATGTAACACTTTTTATGAAACTTGTAAGCACCAGGATGTTTACTTATGCGATTTTGGTTCGCCATTAAATTTCTATCTGTGATAGATCACATGCTATGTAAAAAGGGGGGGGGAGGTTATAGTTTACTATTTTTGAAGTTTACATTGTTGCATACAAAATTAAAAGTGTTCTTTTGAACTGCTGCCATAGCCTAAGTGTCCCTGCTGCCACTGAGGTCCTCTTTGTCTCAGGCAGTGGTGGCATCCACTTCAAAACATTTTAGCAAATTAACTCCAGATTCCATTATCTGTTTGGCAAAGCTAAGTAATAAAAGATTTTAAACTCAGCCTCAGTCAATGCTGTTTCCTTCTCTTGACTGCACCTCTATTCCAATTTTACTGTGGGTAGAGTTTGGCCAAAGTGATCAGAAGGGAGAGACAAAAATCATCAAATCAACCAAGGCTGCAAATCAATGCACTGCTTGCCAGTCTGTCCTTTACAGCAAAGTCTGCTCTAGACCTGCTGGACAAATCCATCTGGAGGGCTGATGTTAGCCATCAGTCAGGAAACACATGTCCAGCAGAAGCAGACCAAATGAAAAGTTGCCCTTCCTTTCTTTGGAACCATCGCTGAGCTGCCATACATGCTAACAGGTACTTAGGGTCTATGGATGGGACACAAGTTTGTACATCAATAATTAGGCCGTAGTCCAGGCTGTATGTTCCCTGCACACCTCTTCAGAACCACGCAAATCCTAAAGACTCACTAACAGAGATTACACACAGGCAAAAATGTGAGGCTGTGGGAAGCTGCTCACAACCAGTGTCCCAGTCAGTGTTTTATACCTGAATTTTTAGATCTTTTTCTATGGGAAGCAGAGGAGAGCAAGGCACAGGACAGGAGCACAGGTACAACTAACAACATGTCTGAAGGGCAAAACCAGAGACTTGACCTCAAAGTTCCCATCTTAAAGTTTACTACATCTTTGGGCATATCGTTTTGTAATCCTCAGAGTACCCCTCACTCCTCCCCAAGTGCCCTGTTTGGGTCAAGGCCAGAGAAGAATGCACAAATGGTCCTTCCATTTTCCATCATCCCAATAAGTGAAATCTTCTGACTTCCCTGCACTCCATTCTACTGTGTGTTAGATGCAGTCTGGTAGGCATCCAAAAAGCTCAACACACCACTTTAAAAACAGCAATGAACGTGTTTATTACACAAACAGCAGCCGATTTTTTAACATTCAGTATGGATCGTGTGGGAACTTACACACCAAATGGATAGCAGCATCAGTAAAACTCTGTGACTTACCAGATGCAACCGTCATTGCTTCTGTTGGCTCATCTTCTCCGAGAACAGACTAAACACACACAAGGGCTGGGATTTCATGTGGGTACATCTACAAGTGCCAAAGCTTCACAGATCTGAAGCTGAGGAATGAAAGGAACTGGAATTGTTGGCTCTCACCAGATGGACGAGGCAGAGAGCAAACCCTTCTGGGAAGGCATGAGATGTAACCAGGCCACCCTTCAGGTGTAGGCAAGCTCGAACCCTCCTGATCTTGGACTGTTAAAGGACTCCCAGCACAAATTCAGTTCCTTGGAGATGATGGCCAAGTTGTGGCAGGTTCCCCCGCTTGCCCTCATTGGCCAAAGGACTGGGTGCAATGTCTGCAGCACCCTCTGAGTCAGACCTGCTGCTGGCCTGCACAGACTCCACACAGCTCTGCAGAGTCACACCTGTTCTGCAATAGAGAGCAACACAAGCCTGGAACCAGCACTTCCAGCCCACCCTTGGCCACCTCAAACCTGCTCCTGAGGCAGAACCACAGCAGCATCAGGCCCTGCTTACTGGTGTCTTTGAAGCTGGTCTCCTGCATCATCACTGTGTGGCTCCTTGCCTTGCAGAGAGCACTGTCAGCCACCAGTGTGTGCGCTTGTTCAAGGGTTGACCTGGATTGGCAGTTTTCTCCCCCAGCTTAGCCCTCACAAAGTGTCTTGGCTCCTCCAGCAAAGGGGGATACCAGTAACAACCCAGTAGGCTTGTTAAAACAGCAAGCTGAAAAAAGTCTCAGCAAAGTAAATGGCATCACCAGACCCCATTGCAGCTGCCAGCCTTTACTGCTGCACAATACAGCGGTGACGTATCTGAAGAAGGAACAGAAGTTCTGCTCCTTCCTTGCACATTTCTCCTTGGCTTGTTGTCTGTAGTTGTCTCCTGTTGCTACCTTTATCATAATTTTTTTATTGCAGCTCTCCACAGCGACTGCATGAGCCTTTCATCAGCACATGAGTCAGAGCTGGGCGTATTTTAAAAAATTTCTCCTGTTCTTCTGTTTAGGATGGCTGTGTTCATGTCAGCAGTCTCCAGAAAACAGCCATGAAAGGCAGAAATTCAACCACAATACTCAACAAATGAACAGAAGACTCCGAAACCACCATGTAACTTAACCGTTTTGAAGGTTGAATGTAGACTAGCAGCACCTGTAGATCACCAAGTTCTGGGGCTCAAATAATATCTCCTGTAAGCTCAGGGGCAGGGCTCAGAGTTAATACAAACAGTATCTTCAACCTATTGGGAAGGCAACATCAGCAGGTTGACACCATTTCTGGTCAAAACCCTTTCTGCTATTGTGTCTGCAGGCCTGCAAACCCCCTGGAAAGTGAATGTCACCCTGTGCAGTGAACACAGAAGTCTGAATCGACTTCCATAGCCCTGGATCGGATTCCAAATAAACTCACAAATCTGCACAACAGAAAGGTGTCAAACACACTTCCTCTTCACTGAAGAGGATGTCGTAAGTCTCCAGCACTTCAGAAGCCCTAGGAATAGCACCAGTCACCTGCCTGGGCTACGTGGACTCATAAAGCAGGCTGGGACTGGGGACTTCTTCAAGGAATGGGGAAAGAACAGAAACCACAACCAACGCAGCTGGTGTGAAGCAGGAGCACAGGAGAGCTGTTGATGGGATCAGGCCAGAAATACCTTTTGAGAAACACTTCCCAGCTGAAGATGCCCACCTGCCCCTTGCTGCAACTCCAGTTTGAAGAAATGGGGTCTGTGCATGTGCTGTGAGTCATAAAATAAGGGGAGTTTGGTTCCACATCCCTGATTTGTACTGCAGAAAGGACAGAGTCTTTCAAGACCTCCAAACTTGAGCTACTCCTTGGCAAAGGCCAAGGCTGAGAACCTTCTTCCACAGTCCAGCCCTCATGCAGGCTATCTCTGCAGAAACTGCCAACAGTAATGGATTTTGATGGATGAGTTTAATTAGCTCAACATTATTAAAGAGAAGCAATTAGATCTTCTTCTCTAGCTGGCATGTTTTAGGGCATTTCCATAATAACCTGCATCTTATCTAAAAGTCCTGAACACTAAAAAGGGAAATAAGAAAAAAAAGGTGTTGAAAGATCTTGTGAAAGCAAAAATGAAGTCAAATGAACAGATGTCCACCTGCAGCCTAAAAATCTTATTTTGAGAGGAAAACACATTCCTAAGGACAGGACCAGTAGCTCAAACTAACTTTTCTGAAAATAATAAGCCTCATATTTCTCTCTCCTACCTGAAACTCTGTTAGAGTGATCTTTATACATGCACACAATCACCCTAAAGAAGGTGACAATCAGTATTTTTCCATGCACATTAGAGATACATTAGGATGCAACCAACACACTTCTCAGTAACAAAGAGCAGAACTTATAAGGAGAGCTACAATTCTGAGAAGGCTTAAAGAGGGGAGGTTGTGGAGCTCCCATTAGTAGTGTATTTAAGAACCTGTTATATGCAATTTCTCTACAATCATCTAGAGACATTACTTTTATCCTACTGCTTAACTAGATGATCTCTTCAGAAGAGAACTCCTCATCTCCAGGCTCTTCCCTCCAGTTCTAGATTCAGTCCACCTAACATCTCAAGAC